GCTTCTAGCAGAGCCTGGATCGTAGCATCGACAAACAAGAGCTGGGAGATGATGGGGTAAGAGGAGAAACTGCTGCATGGAATCGGGGGTTCGTGGGGCATTACAGCCAGGGTCCTGCAGACTCTTAAAAGGATGTGAACTTTCGGTTTCCTGATCGCAAACTCCCCAGCAATCCCCCACCCCAGCCCCGCATACAACCTGCGTGGATTATGAAAGCTTTTATTTCCCAACTGCCTGAATCTATTACTGTGCCCTGTTTATTAATTATTTAGTAGGCTGTGTTGTTCAAGAGCTTCTGTGGATACTGAGTAAACAGCACACTTCCATTAAGGTTTTTTAAACACTGAAAATAGTTCTACTTCCCAAGCTGGGAAATTTGTTGTGGTCTCATTGCTTAGATGTTTTTTCTGGCTGTAGTAATTCATTACCTTGAGGCCCTTCTTGACTGTCTCATCTACAAAGGCTCACCAAGAAAAGTTTCTTCTTTCGATGCAGCTTCCAGAAAGTTCTGATGAAATCAGAACAACAGGATGTGTTCTCTTTCGGCACCTGCTAAAAGTGGCCTTCTTGTCCTAAAAATAACTCAGGACACACCTGTTACAGGGGTTCGAACAGTGGCATTTCAGTTTCTGGATTTCGTGTGGGGTCCTCTTCCCAAAGTGACAACACCTTGAGGGGTTCAGTTACTCTCGGGATGTAGAAATGAGAGCGGTGGCGTTTCCCAGACAGGAGCAATTCCTCCGGCTTCCCTTTCATCGTGCTGGGCTGCCGGGCCCTGCACGGGTTCCCTCTCTGGTCTTTGGGCCTTTCACCTCCAGCCCCACATGGTACCTCCTCCGTGATGCTTCCCCAGGCAGCCCTCTGCTGCTGGGATGAGGACCATGGACAAACCAGAGGCTGCTGGAAGCCAGGGCAGTTAGAAAGCAGTTGAGCAACACCCCCTTTTTGTCTGGGGTGGCAGTAATGACCCAGCACCTATTTATTTGCTTGTGACAAGGCTGGGACTTTGAAGTGTCTTTCTCAAGGAAGCCATTCCCTGAGGGTAGTCAAGTGAGACTTCATTCTCCATTCAACAAGCACCCACAAACTGCCTATTGTGTACCAGAAGTCATAGAACAATTCGTATGTACTTCATTGCTATAGAAAGGCAGTAGTTTCTCCATAGCGGGCTTTTTTGGGCTGAAGGTCAGGCTGCTCAAAGGTGGGTGTCTGCGGGTCACTCGGAACTGCAGAGGCACGTCCATCTCTCATGAGAGCTGAGCGTCTGCAGGAAGAGGGCACTGAGGTGTGATGCCGAGCAGCCTGTGGAAAGGGGACGGGAGTCATGGGACAGGGAAGGGCAGCTCTTTAGGGAGCTGTCTTTAGGTTCCTTCATCTCCGTGTGCATCTAAGAAGCAGCTAGGAATGGAAGGCACTGGGCTGCAGCCGGCAGGGGCGTGGCCGGGAAGGGGCCGCCCTGTGGGAGAAAGGAAACCCAGTTTGCAACCCAGATTTCGGGTTTGAACAACAGCAAGAAACCAAGCAGGGAAACTGAAGGATGAGCAGGTTGCCAGTTGCTCTAGGGAATCCCAAAGTTTGGTTCTGGCTCTGGCTGTAAGACAAACTCCAGGGGGTAATCAGGCAGCCGGCAGGAGCTCAGAGAGGCCTGGGGGAGGCCTCAGGCACTGAAAGCCAGGAAACGCTCTTCTCTCTTGCAAACTTGGACATGTCTGTGGGCTTTGGGAAGAGCAGGCTTGGGGTACGGGCGTCTGGGAGCCAGGGCAGCAAGAGCTGAAGAATGAATGGAAAATGAAACGCAGGCAATTCCCAAAAGCAGTTTTGCTGCAGGGGGAAAAAAAGTAATGAGTTGGAGCAGTAACTGGGGAGATAGCAAGGAAGCAGGGTGTCTGGCCGTCTGAGGAAATGACCCAGTAGGAGAGAGATGACTCACACGGGAGAGAAAAGGGGTGGCAGAAGAGCCACGTGTCTGGGCCGTGAGCAGGGCTGGGGATTCAGGCCCCGTCCCTGTGTACTGACTGTAACCTGGGTGTCATCAGACAACAAGCTTTCGTTCTATTACAGTCCTGGAAGGCGCGGTCCAAAACCAGTTTCATTAGACTAAAGCCAAGCTGTCCACGGGCGCAGAGGTCCCTCTGGGCGTTCTAGGACACAGTCCCTTTCCCCATCTTTTCCAACCCCCACAAGGCAAGCCTGCTCCCGCACACCCCTCTGCCTTCCCAGCCCGCAGGGAAGCACTTTCACACCTTCTCTGCTTTTGTTTCCGTACTCCTCCTCCTCTGAAGTCAGATGTCCCTCTGTCTTTTCCAGGGATGCTTGTGACCACACTTAGGGCCCTCTCAGATGATCCAGGGCAGTCTCCACTTCGTGAGGTCCTTAATTAAGTCACGGCTGCACAGGCTCCTGCCATGTAAAGTGACAACAAGTTCTAGAAATCAGGACAGTTATTCTGCAGACTGGCCCTTTAGGGAAGTGGATGCGTCTTTCCTCCTTTGTAAGCAGAGGGAACAGGAGCAAGCGCTCATGGAGGGGCGTGAAGGTTTGGCAGTGGAAAGATGAGAGGGTCTGAGCTTTGGGCGTGACTTCTCAGTGGAGCGTGACGTGAAACTGATCATTGAGAAGGACGGTGATGGAGGAGGGAGGGAGAGCAGGGGAGGGAACCCGGAGCAAGAAGCACCTAGAAAACAGGACATAGAGCTCTCAGGAGTATGCAGCGGGGTTCAGAGCAGCGCAAGTTCTGCTTCCGGGCTCATCTTTCTGGAGCGGAAGAAAAGCCCTGCTTGGTTGTGTGGTTTTTCTCTGGCGGAGCTAGGCTGCATGGTTGAAAGCACAAGGAAGGCAGAAATGGAGGGCGCCAGTGATTCTTGGGAGAGTGTGGCAGGAGGGGAAGGGAAGTGTGACAACCTCTGGGGTCTGGCTTGGTTAAGAGGCTGGAGAAGGCAGGCATGGCAGCCTGTCAGACGGTAGGAGATGGTGGTGCACTGGCAGCTCTGGTGCTACTTTGAGGGCTGGGCAGAGCAGTGGACAGCCTGTCACTGTAATGAAATTCCTGCCATAGTCAATTGATGAAGAGAAAGGACTCATTTTGGCTCACCGTTCTGCAGGTTTGGTACACAATGGCTGTGTACCTATGGCTATGAGGCCCATGGTGAAGCAGTGTATCATGGTTTGAGTGGTGGCGGAGTGAAATCACTCACCCTTGCCAGGAGCCAAGGAGAGAGGTGGGCTGGGCTCAGAATCCCCTTCAAGGGTGTGAACTTGTGACCCCATTGCTTAAAGGCTCCACCCCCAGGAGGGCCCCGCAGGGGACCACGCACCCAACAGCTGGCTCTTTAGAGGACATTCAAGAGCCAAACAAAAGCATCTCTGCTTCAGACTTTGGAGACGGTGCCTATTATGACGAGCACAGCGTCAGGGCCTCCTGTAGGAGGGAATCACCGTGGGACAAAGACAGAGACCTTCCACCTAGATGCTGGGGACCAGGCATGAAGACCAGGATGGAGGAGGGAGCCAGGAGCCAAGACATCAGCCCTACACTCCTACTGAGTCTTCAGGGATCCATCAATGGCAGCCTGGAGAAATAACCAGCACCAGAACAGTAGAGGGCATCATAGCAAGTGGGTCAATCTAATGGACCTGAGGGGTTTTTAGCAGAACTCCGGCTATGAGGGACTCAGGTGTGGGAGAACAAGTAGCCAGCTGTGTGAGGACTTCCACAGCTGCATTCTATTCAGGTGGGGCAAGAGGCTGATATTTCCAGAAGGGTCTACACTGATCCTCTGCTGGAACCTTCCACTAGCCCGGGAGTGGGGTGGGGATGGGAGGCCAGCAAGCTAAGGATTCAAATCTTGCAGTAACAGATTATTAGCAATAACCCCTGGATTTCTAGCAGCAAGTTTCACAGACATACTAGATATGATGGGACCACAGGACAGCAGGCCTTGAACGCAAGACCAAGGAGTTTGCATTTTAACCCATATACCAAGGCCGTTGCGTTGGCCCAGGTTTGCGTGCACTATCACTGTCAAAGTCAGGCTTTAGGAAACAGTTTTTGAGCCAGGAGAACGAAGGAGACTGAGAAAGCGATGCGATAGGCCAGGCTCACAAAGGTGGTTGGTTTGAACTTTGAGGTGAAGAAGAGGTAGGGGAACACATGGGGAGCTGCCTCTGTCTCAAGCTTAAGTGGCTGGGTGTCCCCAGGCCACAGTTCAACACTACCCAGTGGCTGCATATGAGGCAGGAGGGTAACAAGGGCAGGGCGAAGAGGGCAGGGCAAAGCTTCGGTTGCCCGTGTGCGCAGGTGTCAGTGCTGGCCTCCGGTCAGGGGTGTCCCCCACAGCAGGGTGTGTGAGGGCTCAGCAGGCACCCAGCAGCGCAGCTTAGCGGAGGGCCTCCTCTGATGGCTCTCCCCAGACACTTGGAGGGCAGGGCCAACGATCTGCCGCATTCAAGTGCAAAGCTCATCCACTTCTGCCCTGTGCCCCACGTTCTGCGGCCAGGACTCCCTCACAGGGCCCTAGGTGGCCTGGCTCACGGTGGCCTCTGCGCCCCTTGCCTGCGTTCACCGCCTAGGGGAGCAGAACGGACACCGTGGAGGAGGTGGGGAGAGGCCTGCGTCTGGGGTGGCGCGGGACGAACCGCAACAGTCCTGGGAAAGGTCGAAGGTCACGCGCAGAAAGGAGCCCGGCGTCATGCACCAGGGCTTCTTTCGCTCCCAGCCCGGCGCTCGGGTGCGCAGCCAAGCAATCTGGGACAGGGGTGCGCGGGGCGGAGCCTGGAGAAGACGCAAGGGAGCGGGATGGGGATTACGGGGGGGCGGGGCTTTGGCGGGAGGGGCGGTGGTGGGCGGGGCACGGAGAGACGCGAGGGAGCCGCGCCGGGGAGGGGAAAGGGGCGGGGCTTTGGAGGGGCGGGGCTTTGGGCCCGGAGGCCAGAAAGGGCGGGCGCGGCTCCGAGGCGGGGATTGGGCGTGGAGGGGGCGGGGCCCGGCCCGGAGGCGGGGCCCGAGAGGGGACCGGTGGCCGCGGCGAGAGCGCGCCAGCCCCGCCGCGATGCCCCCGCGCCCAGGACGCCTCCTCCTCCTGCCGCTCGCCGCGCCGCCGTTGCTGCTGCTGCTGCTGCTTGGCCATGGCGGCGGCGCGCGCTGGGGCGCCCGGGCCCAGGAGCCCGCGACGGACGGGAGCCCCGCGGCCGGCGGCGGGGAGGGAGTCGGGCCCGGGGCTGCGGAGGACCCGCACGCCAAGCACCTGTACACGGCGGACATGTTCACGCACGGGATCCGGAGCGCCGCGCACTTCGTCATGTTCTTCGCGCCCTGGTAGCTGGCGCGGGGCCCGGGGGCCCGGGGGTCCGGGAGTCCGGGGGGCGCGGGGGCCGAGGCCCAGGCAGGGGGCGTCGGCTCCGAGCCGGGCGCTCGCGGCTGACGTGGCGCTGGCGGCGGGCGCAGCGGGAGGAGGGCGGGCCCGAGCGCGCGGAGAGAGCCCGCCCCGGAGCCCGCCCCTCCGGGCCGGGTGCAGCGAGGGGTCCCAGATGCCCTCCGCCGCCCCCGCCGGGCGCCCCAACTTCCCGTGCGCGCCGACCGCAGCGCTGTCGAGGCCGGCACCGGGGGCCGCCGCGACCCCGGAGTGCTTTCTACCCGCTCGCCCCGCAGGCGTGGGCTGAACTGAAAAGGGCGACCGCTCCGAGGTGTGGTTCCCACTTCGTGCGTGGGAAGGGCTGCCCGGGACGGGGATCCCGTGCTCTCACCGGAAGCCGGGAAGAGTGCGATTTCTGGGGCGCCCACCGAGCTCCTGGCGGCCCACAGCCCAAGGTGCCCTAGGTCACCTCCTCTCAGCTCTCTTGGGGCCTGGCCATTCGGAAGGAGTGAGCCTGGATAGCCCCTGGATGAAAATCAGGCCTTCTGCTGTTCTCGGGTTGGCCTTGACTGGAACCTGAGAGCCTTTCACCGTGTAGTTACCTAAGCGCAGGCGGTGCTGCCCTGCCGGGTCCTCCTGGATGTGGACGCGTCGAGCTGAGCAGACAGTGTGTACTGCGAGATTAGTGTACCCCCTCCCCAAGGCTCTGGAGAGCTCTGCCAGAGCAAGGGGTGTAGAAAGGACAGAGAAAATGGCTTAGAACGTAGATTCTTGAGAACTAAGCCTTCTGAAGTAGGAGAAACTTTCTGTCTCTTAACCACATCTTCAGGCTATTGTTTCGTTCCTAAGAACCAACTGACTTGGATTTTTAGAACTACCAATAGAAGAGGGAAATAACTTTGTAGCATGAAAAGTTCAGCTGATGTTAGTAGTTACTTTGTGCTCGTGTAGTCTTGGACTAACCATGCCAAATAAATACTGCAGCACTTAATTGGAGCCAATTTCATGGAATAAATCTGAGAGTTTTGCTCCTTTTTTTTTTTAAGAAAAATCGACATGCGGGCATAACAAGTCCCCTGTAGCGCTAATGGAGTTTGAATTTTGGACTAACTCAGCAAATATCCGCTGGTTGGGCCTGCACTGAGAGAAGACAGCCCAGTGTGGGTACTGGGTGTTCAGTAATGTTCTTTTCATTCATTGTGGGTTTTTGGACATTTAGGGGGATGCTCCCAATAAGAAAATTTAAATTTTTATTTGCTTCTGACTGGGATCTGTAGATTTTCGATTGCTGTTTGAAAGTTAGGCTTTAAGTGCAGTGTGGCGCTCAGATGGAAGGTAGCAGACTGCCCTCCCCCGCCTCTTCTAGTTCAGAGGTCGGGAATGTTGGAAGCCCACTAGTGACTTGAGGGCAAGGACATGATGTCATGAAAACAGAGATGTGTGTATTTTTGCTCTGAACTTGGCAGCTGTCTTGCCAAGTTGGTTTTGTGCCAACATCAAGTCACAGCTTCTCTGTGGTGCTCATGGGTCATGCTGACCCTGGTGGCCATAAGGTCAAGATTGGGACCAGGTGGTTTTGTGCTATTTCTTGCTGTGTTTGGAACGGGCTAATGGAATGCAGCTGGCTGTCCCAGGGCTGGATGCTGTAGCTACAAGGGCCCCAAACCAGGAGTTGCAGCTAGATGGCACCTGTGGCTCAGTCACTGCTGCTGGGGTTTGGGGGGAGGGCACCAACTAGTGAGGGCCCAGGATGAACAGCTCTGATTCAGTGCCCAGCGAGGATAAAGAACATATTCTTTATCCTTGCATTTAATCTGGTCTTGTGTTGTCACAACTTGAAAGGTTACAAAGGAGTTGTGAAATTCTGAAACGAGCTTGTCTGACTGAACTCTGGAGCACCGCCCCAGGAAGCCCTTTGGGACTGTGCCCAGGTGGAGGCCACCACCCCACACCCGCTCCGTCCTCCCAGTCAGGTTCCCCTCCAGTGTCAGAACAGATGGTGGCTGCTTTGGCTAAGCACCTACCGGACCGGGTGTCACATATGTTCTTTGGATGGTACAGTTACAGTGGATGTGGTAAGATGCTCGCATCATGAGGAAGAACAGAACCAAGGAACAGGAAGTCTGTCCCTGACTGCAGGGCTCCTCCTCCCCTCCACCCCTCCCAAGCTCAGTCTGAATTCACAGACATTGAGTCCACAAATGCAATTTCACTGCTGCTCTTTTTTTTTTTTAACTCAGTGATGAAATTGCCAAGCACTTAGTCTACATTGAGTGTGTGCTGGGAATGCAGTAGCTAAAGAGACAGTGTTCGTGTTTGACTTGCTGGCACTGGACTATGTGGATTTAAATGTAACGCTGAGGTGTCCTCCAGTGATCTCCCAGGAAGGAGTGATGCATCTTCCTCAGCCTAGAAAGTGCTGCTAGAGAAGACGCTTCACCTCATGTGAGCTTTTCAGTGCCACCCTCGGGTGGTTATTCTTGAGGTCATGTGTCAGAAAAGAGGCCAAGTGTTTTCACTTGGTTTTACTGAGGAGTCACAGGTATCTGCACTGGGTATCCTTGTAAGTGGGCACTTGGTTTTGTCTTGGTTTGTTTTCCTAGAGTCCAACTTCTACAGCAGCCCATCAAGGGTTACCCTTAGCCATGTGTCACATGTACCAGACACCTGGGGAGAACCCCCACAAACCCTCAGGCACTGCAGGGGCCTGGGGTTGTACTTGAAGCCTGGGGTAAAGTTTCCATCATTGTCTGACTCTGAAATCAAGTTTGGCATCGCAGACCCAAAATGCGAGGTGTCCACTGGCGCTGCCCTGGTAGCAAGCTAGTGACGAGGAGTGATGCCTGTGCTGTCCCGACAAGGAACAGTCGAGCAGAGGCCATCGTCCTTGGAGCACATTAACTTAAACGGTGGTCAATTTAAAAACCTGTGCACGTCACTGAACCCCTGCAGTGCGCTGTGTGGTGCTTGGTTATATCAACCTGAGAAAATTACCTGACTGCAAACTCCTTTGTTAAAAATGTGCTTTTATAATTGCTCATTGGAAAATTGTAGAGTTGATTTAACTCGAGGCCCCCTTGCGTTTGTGGCGTTTGGGGTGGGATGGTCGGGGAGGCCTGAGCGGCATGGAGGGACCTGTGTGCATCCGGCTGCTGCAACATGAAGACAGCCGGTGCCTGAGGGGAAGGGCTTGACACCCCCGAGGTGTGGTACTCAGTGTGCTCCTTACAGGTGTGGACACTGCCAGCGGCTGCAGCCAACATGGAACGACCTGGGAGACAAGTACAACAGCATGGAGGACGCCAAGGTCTACGTGGCTAAAGTGGACTGCACGGCCGACTCGGATGTGTGCTCCGCCCAGGGTGTGCGGGGCTACCCCACGTGAGTCGGGAAGGGTCCTCAGGTCTGTGTGCTGGTCGCCTGCGGCCTGGGAAGTCCATGCTGTACTGTGCAGGTTGCAGGGGAGAGGGCAGTGATAGGTACATCTGGGCGTTTTGTTTGGAAGAAGCCTTTGACTCATCGGCATTCGGCTTTTCTGTTGACTGGAGCATGTTGGGGCCATGGGGGGTCTTTGGGATCCTGCACGTGGTGACATTCCCTGTGACATTTTACACCCTTGGCAGCGTAGGGCTCCTTCTGCTGGGAAGGAGGATACCAGCGCACAGAAGTTGGGACGGGTGGTGCTGCCCACCCTGACCTCCGGGAGTGTATATCCAAGCGGCTCTAGCGTGGTTTGGATAAGAGTCTTGCAGTGCCCTCAAGTTACAGGCCTGGGGAATCCCAGCACATGGCCCTGTAGGAGGGGCTGGAGACTCCGGGGACCCCTCCTTTGCTTCCTTGCTGTTCTGGCATCCTGATCCCCCCACCATGACGTGTGGCTTCACTGCAGGCCCAAGGTTGAGGTTCCTGCCCCCATGGACTGGAACCTCCAAAACTGAGACAGAGTAAGCTTTCCCTTTCCCAAGCCGGTTACATCAGGTGCCTGGGTGGAGACGATCAAACCAGGGTAGAGAGGATGAATTGAAATTCTGTGGGCAGCTCTGAGAGTGCTGGGCCTCTGGGCTTGGTTCTGCCATGCCCCCTACCCCTGCCACCCCTCTCTTCCCGTGAAGAGTGTCCGCCGTGACTGGTGGGTGCCCTTGGTGAGAGTTGTGTCTGGATGGTCACTGTGACAGGGAAGCCGGATGCTGGGGACAGATCCCGAGGGAGGAGGGCCCATTCCCTAAATCCCCATACAACGAAGAGTGAAGTCAGTTGTGTGGATTTGGTACTTAATTGAGGAAGAGGGGAGTGTGGTCTCAGTGTAGAATCAGAACCAAACCTCAGACAGCAGGAGAGGCTGTGTGAACACCTGAGCAAGCCCTGTGAGTGCAGACACGGGCCGGGACCCCAGCACTGCTGTTCACGGCCCCTGTGCCTCTGGCCCCGATTTCAACCCCTAGGGAGGGTGTGACAATGCCACCCATGGAAGTAGCATGTGTGTGGGTCCTGATGTGAACTCACTTGGTCAAGGTTAGGGCTGCTCCTCCATTTGGAAGTGTGACTGTCACAAAGGCCCCTGGAACTCTTGGTCTCCAGTGGCCGCTTGCTAAGTGGCCACATGCTAGTGTACATTGTGTCAGACCAGAAGGGAGGAAATGTCCCCTCTCTATACCTTGCTGAAGATACCCCCTGCCTGGCGTTTCACAGCTCCACTTTTGAAGTAGCCTCAGTTCGGATCAAGAGCATCGCAGAGAATCAGCTGGGGGTAGCAGGAGGAGGAAGAGGAAGAAGTGAGCACTCCTGTGGCCTGTTGCTTTTAGGAGGCGGCAACAGCAGAGATGTGTCGGCTGTGGCCTCCGTTCAGGCTGATGTTGCTGACTTCGTGTGGCCCCTAAAGCATGGCATGTGGTGGTTGAGACCAGAGCCATCATGGGGCCGAGAGGGCACAGGTCCTGGGTGTGCGGGGATGTTTAAAGGGTTCCGCACAGCTTCAGGCCAGAGATGCTGTAGGCTGCTACACCAGGTTCTCAGCCAGGCCATGTGTCTTCATTTTTATTTTGCTATTATTATTTTTATTAGCTTGGCTGTTTTCTGAGACAGGGTCTTGCTATGTAATCCAGGGTTGCCTTGAACTCACTGTGGAGCACAGGCTGGCCTCAAACTCGTACAATAATCTTCCTGCCTCAGCCTCCCCAGAGCTGGGATGATAGGCCTGTGCCACCACACCCAGCTCCATTTTTATATAGATCTGGCCCCACCCAGCTAAGCCAGGCACTAACGTTGTGTTGTTAGGAATGAAAGTGAGCTCATACTTTTAATAAAAGCGGTCTGGGAGGGAGCCCTCAGGCCTGCAGAAGAGGAGGTGAGAACAGAATTTCTAAATTGTCTGTTTTACCCAGAGGCAGGAGGCAGAGCTGTGTACAGTAGTGACAGCAAGACAGTTGGGATGGAGCCTATAACCCAGGCCCTCAGGGAGGCGATGGTGACCAGGAAAGCCTGAGCTGGGCGTTTGTCAGTGTCTGACCCTTTCCGTCAGAGGGAGGAGGCTGGGGTCCCCCAGCCCCTGGAAATAGCTGACTATACCCAGGAAAATGTTTGAGGGGCTTCCTGTTAAGCCAGGAAAGAATCACTGTCTGGGGAGTCCTGAGCAGGGGTCAGGCAGGAAGGGATCGCATCAGTGTCCATCTCCTCCTTCCACTGCTTTAACAGAACCATGCAGGTGGGTGGCGGAAAACTGGGTCCTGGAGGCTGGGCTTCTAACAGGAAGGGGTCAGCAGGGCCACGCCAGCTCTGAAGTCCATCAGGACCCTCCTCTCCTGGCTCCCATGGGTCACCTGCCAGCCCTCTTGGCTTCGCCCAGCCCCGTGATCACCTGGCTTCTCCCTGTGTGTGCGCATGCACAAGTTCAGGGTGTGTCCTACGTGCATATGTGGTGTGTGTGTGTCTTTTCTCTCTAAATTTTCCCTTCATATAAAGACTTTGTTTCTTACGAGTCGTATTCTGAGGTTGTGAGCTAGAATTCCAGCTGATCTGCTTTGAGAGAGAGGATTTAACTCTAGTGTATGTGGACAGATTCCTTAATGACCTGCCCGTTTAACGACCTTCAGACAGCACCCTTCGCTAGGCCCTGCACTTGGACTGATGAAGCAGATGGCGGCTTCTACAGAGCAGTGCTGTTGTTTCTGCTGATTGCACTGCACAATACCGGGCTGTAGTTTTTTGTTTTTTTTTTTTTTTTTTTTTGGTACCAGGGATCGAACTTGTGACCTCAAACTTGCCAGGCAGGCACTTAACCCACTGAGCTAAATCGCCGGCCCCGGGCTGTAGTTTTGTATGCTGTTGTACATCGCAGTTTGCGTGGACAAGGTAGCAAACAAAAGCAGAGCCATCCAGCTGGGGTTTCCTTTGACTGTTTCTTGGGAAGGATAACAGATGCCTCACGGGGAGAAGCCTGAGGTTCTGCATAGGAGCACGGAAGGCTGCACTGTGGCTGCAGGTTTTCACCTGGATTTTACTTCCCTTGAATCCTCAGAAACTTCTGACTGCTTAGCATAATGTGCACACGCTGCCTCCTAGAGCATGACCTCTGCGTCCCTCCTGGCATCAGCAGAGGGAGGCAGAGTGGGCCCCGGCTGCAGCCCCTGGCCAGCTCACTTTCTGCATGGTTCCCTGAATGAGTCTGCTCCCTGATGAGACTGCGGCCATCCACTCAGAGTAGTTAGGGGAAGCTTTAACTTGTGCTCTGCCTAATCCTGTTGTTCTTGCAGCCTGAAGTTCTTTAAGCCTGGCCAAGAAGCAGTAAAGTACCAAGGTCCTCGAGACTTCCAGGCGCTGGAGAACTGGATGCTGCAGACGCTGAACGAGAAGCCAGCTGTGAGTGCCCCCCTCCTCCCCTCCTTCCCTTTCTACATTTTAGGGGAGTCTCACTGAGCAGAGGCCAGTAGTAGTACATAAATCACGGTTATTATTCCAAAGTGACCCCATCAGAACTCACTGATGTTGTAAGCAAAGGAAACATCCAGCCACACAGTAGAGAGAAGCGTCAGTGAACTCCCAGCCTGAACTCGGTCCCCACTCTCCTGCCCCGTCTCCCTGGTGACATGGCCAGGGTGCAGGAGTCTCTGTGTGCAATTCAGTGTCGCTGGTGGAGGCTGCTGTGTTGTGCTGGGCGGGCCTGAGCGGATCAGGAGCGGCGCTGCTGGGGTTGTAGTGGGTGTATGTGGTTCCTCGCTCTGTCCTGTGTTCTCTGCAGACAGCAGAGCTGATCGGAACCCCACCAGCATATCTCACATTTCAAACCAGAGCGTGTGGTGGAGAGTGCTGTCAAGTGGTGCTGGGCGGTCACTGGCCAGAGACTGATCTAATTGTAGGTCGCAGGCGAGAGCACAAGCCTCTTGGAGAGTGAATTCCATTTCCGTTGTGGGAAAGCTGGATGAGCAGGTGTAACTCTTCACAGAGATGTAGCCTCCCATTGCTTCCTTTATGAAAATGCTCTCTTTGGAATAGGGCGGGTATTAGGCACAAGGAGAGCAGAGTCAGCCACTTCAAAAAAAGAGAACTTTTAAAATGAACTTTGCAGCAGAAAGCCTGGCTTCCATGATGGGTATATCCGGCAGCCAGTGTGTGGACAGCAGAAAGGCTGGGGCCGATGTCATCCTGTGAGCTGGTTCCCGTGAGGGGAAGCAGCCACTTTGCTGTGGGGGTGTCGTGGCAAAGGTGTGCTGAGACTCTGCAGGGACGGGAGGGTGGGCCCCACGGCGTCTACCCCAGAGCTGCAGCTGCCTGAGCTCCGTGTTTTAGTCTCTGACAGGGTCGCAGATGATCTCTGGAAACAGTGATGGTGAAATATGCTTTACAATGACAAAGCTCAAATGCACAGATTTCACATAGATGAAGTTGCCTTTATCCAAGGTGTTCAGGTCGGAGGCTTCGAACTCTTTGGGTCTTGGAATATTTGCAGACACATATTGTGCTGTCTTGAGGATGAGGCCTGCCGAATATGCCATTCATTTATATTGTTTGCCACCATCCGTGCAAAGCCTGAGGGTAGTTTCTGCAGTGTTCCTAGTGCACCTGCTTCTGGACTTGTTGCCATCACAGGTGTGGAGGTTTGTGGCTTTGTGCTGGGTCAGGGATTTCAGGCTTTGGAGCATTCTGGATCCTGGGTTAGGGTTGCTCAATTTGCATGGCAAGCCAGAAATTCTTTTCAGTTTGAGTCTACCTTTTGAAGGGAAGGCTTTTTAAAAAGTTTCACCTGTATTTTTCCCTAAATAACAACATGTACATTTTTATGTTCATGCAGAATAAATTCAGAATTTTCCCCTTAGGGTTATGGTAACCGAAAAAGAAACTTGATCACAAGAAAGTATGTTTTTTTACATCCCACCCCAATTTTTACTTTTGTATATGCTTTTGTAAAGTTAAGCAATCCTGTACACGTTTTCCTTAGTGATTCTGTGTAGTGTGCAGTTGCAGTGTTGATTACATTTTATGTTATCGTATCATGGGTTTGCCATGGTGTTTCTTCTGTTTATAGATGTTCATTTGTAGTCAGTCATCAGAAGTATTACATGGAACATATTTATCTTTTGAAGAATGACTTCCTTGTCTTTTAAGTGAGGTTTTGTAGCAGATATTCCCAAATATAAAATTGCAAATCCAAAAGAAACTCATTTTCGAGGCTCCTGACGAGTATTTCCAGGTTGCTTCCCTGAAAGGTGGGGTGGCCCTACTGTCCCCCACAGAGTGTGAGCAGCCTGTCTGTGGGGTGCCCTGGTCCTCCATACAGGTAGGGTCCCTGGTGGGTGTCAGGGGGCATGTGTGGTGCCATGCAGACGCTTTTTGCCACCACCTGCCCACCTCCCGGTCCTTCACCTGATCCTGTCCTTCGGCATCCAGCACTTGGGAAGCCTGGACAAGCCAGGGGCAGAAGCGGGGCCTGCGTTCCAGTTATGCTCTGCAGGGCTCTGGCCTTGGGCCATCAGCACTTTAACAGTTGAACTGGGATCGTGAACTGTGAGGTGAGGAGGAGTAATATGTACTGAGTATCTGCAGGAAAACAGGGATCCCATGACTACTTCTTCAGGTTACACTGGTTGGAAGCCAGAGATGTACCTGGCCTCAAAAACGGAAATCTAACATCGCATGGCAGCATAGGAACTGTCGGTGTGTCCTGGTGCCCCCCACCATGGTCATCCCTCCATGTGGGTTTCTGCTTCCCGTGGTTTCATTTACTTAACATCCGAAAATATGGAAAATTCTAGAAATGAACAATTTATGAGCTTTTAAATAACTTTATTACAGTTTGTTATAATGGTTCTGTCTTATTGTTACTGTTAATTTCTTATGTCTAATTTGTAAATTAACCCTTCTCACAGATGTGGGTGCACAGTTAGCAGGATCCCCACAGATTGTGAGACACATCAGCTGTAGGCCAGGGGCCCTACTGCACCCGCAGAAGCATGTCCTAACGCTTCTGTCCCAGACTTAGTGGTGTGACCGTGTTCTTTCTTAAAGGTGCAGCCTGTGAAGCCTGCCCGTCATTTACTGAGTTCCCCGTTGGTGGCTAGTTTCCCCTGTCACCTCCTTTTCCCTCTCCTTTTCCCTGTGCCTGACCTGTCTTCACCGATTGCTCCGCGTGTGTGACCCGAGGGTAGCTAGGCCCTGCTGCTCCCGGTGGGCTCTGCCATCCCCATCTCACCTCCCTTGTGTCTTTCGGTGCTAACCCTCCGCATTGGCCCATCAGGGAGCTGACTGTTTAATCTCTTGAAATATCAGCTTTTGCTTCCCAGCAGAGGGCCGGTTTGGGAGCAGCTCCGTCCTTTAGCTTCTCTTTGTTAGGGTTTTGGGGTGGGTACAGCTATCACTGGCTGCCCTGGGGCTTCACGCCAAGGCTGACAGACGCGAGCCCCGCTCTGGCCTCGGTGTGCACGCTGGCGTCATACAGGCGCAGGTGGGCGTCTGCAGGGGTACTAGACACGGGCGGGCCACGTCGACATCCACAGGACTCATGTGCAGACTGACTGTCATTTTGTCTCTTCCTTTTAGACACCAGAGCCGGAAGTAGAAGCACCCAGGGCCCCCGAGCTCAAGCAGGGGCTGTACGAGCTCTCAGCCAGCAACTTTGAGACACACGTGGCACAGGGTAAGGTGGCGGGCCTGGCGGGCATCGGCAGTGCTGCCTGTTTCACGGCCCTTGACTCTCCGGGCTTTTCTTTCTCGCTGCCGGGGCTCAGATAGCAGCAGCTCTTCCATCTGCCGTGTCACGCGTCTGCGCCGACGTCCCCCTTCCTTTCTTTCTGCCCTTGTGAGCAGAGCAGGCCCAGTGCCAAACTAAGGCCCACGGCGTGGCAGGTTGGTGTGCTCAGCCACGGATCGCAGGGGCTGTGCACGGGCCTGGGCAGGAAAGCGAATCCGTATTCCTGTTGGTCGTGCTCATTGACCGCTTCTGCCAGTTTAAGCGGAGCAGTAAGTTCCGACACCAAGGTGGAGCCGCTCAGTGTCCAGACCGCAGGGCTTCATAAAGTATAAAGCATCATCCTGTGCCTACCTTCCAGCCTCTCCTGCTCGTCCATGCCGCTGTCCATCTTCCTGCCCTCAGTGCCTGAGGTGGCACTTTCCCTACTTGCCTGGAAACCGAGTGAGTGCCTTGGGGCTCCCCCGCATGCCCCCTGGCATGGAGTGCAGTCCAGTCATTTTCATACTAAGTGGCTCTGACTCACCGTGTCCCACTTAGGAGCCTTCAGCTTTGGGGACATGTGGCTGCTCAGTGCATTTTCAGCTCACAGCAGGTTTAGCGGCACAACTGTGGCCAGGCTGGGCTCTGTTCTACCTCTCCAAGGGCCTCTGAGCTCCCGGGCCCTGGCACCCCTTTGTCTCCTGCATTCTGTTTGCAGGGCACAGTGTGCTCCCTGCAGTCAGAACTTTGCTGCCTGAATTCCCACGGCGGGTTTCCATATTTCCCAGATTTCTCTATTTCTGGTCTGCTGGTAGTCTGCTCTAGGGATATGACCCTATCTAGGGATATGGTCACAGCGTGATGTGTTTTGGGGGCACAGGAAGACTGCGTGGCCGCCGGTGGCAGAATGTCCAGTTGTGTGTTCACGTCGGGCTTGGCCTTCATGTTTCCAGAGCATCCGCTCAGCATCTTGTCACATGGTGACTCCTGAGGCCAGCATCACTTCTCCCCTTACTATAGCAGAGAAAGTCACCCTGGCTTCCCGCTTGCGTAGTCAGCATCACAGTCATAGAGAAGATGGGAAATACCTGATTTTCTGCCTGTCCTGCCAGTCTTCCACCCCTGAGGTGGTTCCCTGCTCTCCTGCAGAGGTGGCAAATCTGGCTTTGTTTTGAGCATTGCCGAGGATTCCCGGACTTCCTATGTGATCCTCCAGTTAAACCGCTCCCTCCGTGGGTCTGGCCCAAGTGACAGCGCCTCTTTCCCCTTCCTCTTCCACCTTGGTGTCCCCTGCAGGCAACCACTTTATCAAGTTCTTCGCGCCATGGTGTGGTCACTGCAAAGCTCTGGCCCCAACCTGGGAGCAGCTGGCTCTGGGCCTCGAACATTCAGAAACTGTCAAGATTGGCAAGGTAAGTGAAAGTCACTATTAAGCTGGAAATAGACGGTGTTGGGCCAGGTTAATTAGCAGTGTAGCCCCTTATTCATTCCATGTGTAGTCACAAGCCTGATTTATTAATTCCGTTTAGTTTGCCACTTGATAATTCATTTCACCTTCACAGATGGCAGTCTGGTTTTGAGCTTGCTGGCTCTTCCACAGCCTGGACAAATTATGGCCTTGGCCACGTTGTTTATTTGGAAGAGACGGCCAGCTCTGAATTGGTAGTTAGAGCCCTTCTGCCAGATACGAGCTGGGGCCCAGAGACCATTCCTTGGGCATTTGTGTGCTCCCAGGGCCTGCCCTAGGGACCCTCAGCTTCGTGCAGTGGCTTGCAGAGAGCCCCCTCTCACAGTGAGCCCCGGTTTGTGCTGCAACCCAGGGACCTTTCCCATGTGACATGGAGGAGCCAGAAGTGACATCCAGTGACTTCAGTGGAACCCAGTTTTCTGGAACTATCCAGTGGCCTCCCAGTGGCTTATCTCAGCCACCCTCTGCCACACCCCAGATACCCTGCATGGGTTGCCACTTTTAAGAGTCCCATTTTTCCTACATTGCCGTGGGGCTTTGAAAGGGCTGTGAGGAGACCGATCTTGCTTTGTTTTCAGGTCGATTGCACACAGCACTACGGACTTTGCTCAGAAAACCAAGTCCGAGGCTACCCCACCCTGCTCTGGTTCCGTGACGGGAAGAAGGTATGTCTGGGGTTCTTGGCCTCAGAGGTGGAGCTGCTGAGTGTGTAACGAGTGTGCATCCTGGTGAACACTGTCCATGGCTCTGGGGCAGTGGCTTGGAGAAGTGCCTACCTTGGAACAGATAGGTTTCTCTGATAGTATTTGAACTGTTGAGTAAAAGGACCACTATTTGAAACATTTCAGTGGCTTGGGCCACCATAAGACCAATCTCGCCGCCCAGGCACGGGGTCCCAGCCTGGTCACTAGCAGGCCTTGCAGAGCCAGAGCAGGGATCCCACCTGCGCTTGGCTGGGCTCAGCCCTCCCCATACCAGGGTCAGTGCACAGGGTCCGAGTCCCTAGGCCACCTGGGTGTGCACCACCACCCTAGACTGGACTCCAACCACAGGAAGGCACCTTCTGCCCCCATGGCCGTGCCTTGGGGCCTACGTGCTCCTCCTTCAGGGGCGAGGAGTGCAGAGCCATGGCTGAGCAATAGTGCGGGGCGCTGGTCAGTGCACCATGACAGAAGCCGTTCAGGGCCCCTCTTTGTCTTGGACAGGTGGATCAGTACAAGGGAAAGCGGGACTTGGATTCGCTGAGAGACTATGTGGTGTTGCAGCTGCAGGGGCCGGAGACGGGCGCCCCTGAGACCGTGGAGCCCTCAGAGGCCCCAGTGTTGGCTGAGGAGCCCACAGGGGACGAGGTGAGTGCCCACTGCTGAGAGTTGAGCAGCCAGACGGCCTTCTTCTCCCAGCATGAAAGCTTTTATTCTGCTGGGGTTTTTTGGTACCAGTAATCAAACTGGACCTTGCGCTTGCCAGGCAGGCGCTGTACCAGTGAGCTAAATCCCCAGCCCTGTGGTTCAGCTTTGGTGTGCTCTGTGGAAGCTCTTAGATTCGACACAGGTGAGACAGATCTTGAGGGTAGCTGACGTTGAGAAGTCTGAGATCCCTGCCTGTCCCATCTTGTCCTTTGTGGGCTCCTGTGCATGCAGGCTGTGTGCTGAGAGGTCATGGCTGCAGCCCCACGGACTGTTTCTAGTCATTTCTAGAACTTGCTTTGATCCTGAGGCCAAGGCTCCCGAGAGACCAGCAGGAAGGCGGTGTGTGGGTCTGACGCTAGGCTGAGCTGGGTGGATTTGCTTCAGGCTCCCTGATGTGTCCTGGATGCCTTTGTTCTGTGTTCCTCAAGCCTCTGTTAGGCTTCAGGCTCCATCCTGGGCTGCCAAGATTTTCCTACCTGAGAAGGGGCTGGGTCTATAGGGGCAAAGGGAGCCCGTGTTACGGGAGCTGTGACAGGCGTGCATGAAGGCTGGTCACCCTGGGACACAGACTTGGGAGCCACTAGGTGGAAGCACGGAGCCCAGAGGCGAGTGTGTGGACCAGCTGTGTGTTTCAGGAAGGCCCGGAGGGAACGGGTGGGCGCTGGCAAGGGCTGTGGTATAGGGAGCCACAGCTGGGGAGCTGTGACTCGGTCAGCCAGCTGAGGGCTGCAGGCTCCACCCCGAATGTGTCAGGAGCCCCTGGGGGTTTCGAGCAGATGTGTGGAAAGATGACCCAAAGCTGCAGGTGTGGGAGTGATGAGCTGCGAGATGGACCCTGAGAGACAGCGAGTCCCCAAGCTTGAGCTGACGGCAGGGACAGAGGAGAGAGTGAAGTCCAGCTGCGGTATACAGACAGGGAAAGTGGAGTCGGGTGATGCCCGGAGCCTGGGGGGCCAAGTGCAGAGGGGTCGGAGGAAGAAGTGCATGGGTCTCCGAGGGGAGGCGGTGTGCGTGTTTCCTGCTGTCCTGAGCAGAGCTCTGCCCTCTTTACCCACAGATTCAACCAACCGCAGCTGAAAACTCGTTTTAAAAATGTGTTTTCTGAATGTGTACAGAGTTTTCTAGGCATTCCCCAAACAATGCCACAGTTAGGGACGCAGCGTTCACATCGTATCAGGTGTTAGGAATCAGCTAGAGATGATTCCGTGAGTCCAGGCGGATGCATGTGTTTGGTACAAAGACTGTCCACCTTCTGTGTGGGGACCTGAGGATCCACGGGGTTTGATGTCCTTGCTGGGGGCGGACCCATCTAAGTGGACCACGGTGGACAACTGCATGGGCACTGCTGCTTCCACTCCCACATGTCATGCCATGCTTGGACCCGGGACAGTGGGGGACCTCAGGGTGGAGCAGGAGACAGGACTCACTGGAGCCGTCCCCTCAGGAACCCTTGGTGGTTTGCAGTTAGAAAAACAGCAGAGCCACCTGCCCCAGGAGGCCTCTTCTGGGTGACGGGCGGCTGCTGTGTGTGCATCAGGATGGCGTCTGTCGGGAGTGCGTGTGCCGTGGCACTCTAAAGCCCATCCCAGACTGGCATAATTACCTCAGCGCTGTTTATATGAAGCTTTCCACCACTGAGTGGGCCTCTGTGAGCGTGGGGCAGGGTCCTCGGACACGAGGATGGCAGAGCTGTCAGGCTGACCACATGGCGGCCTTCCCTGTGACCTCCAGCCAGACCTTGGATGTGTGTTCTGCACATTTACTTTGTACACACACCATGGGTCATGGCTGTCACTAGGTGTCTTTTGCCACGCAGAGAAGGTGACTGTCTGCAGCTGCCTGCAGCCACCAGTGAGGGGAGAGGGAGGCGGCCCTGGGGAAGGCATGGATGAGGAAGTTCCTGGCGGCTCAGGCTCCATGCTGGGGTGCAGTCCAAGCTGCCCCGGAGCCTCCAGGGCTGACGGGCTCAGCCTCTCTGAGCCCGTGCCTGTGCACTGCTTGTCCTGCCACCCTGGGCCCTGGGCACACCCCCTGCTTGTGTGGTGCAGGGATGCATATAACATGTTGGCGAGAAGAAGCTGATTCCCTGTTCCTCTCCTGCAGAGCACCGTGTTGGCACTCACTGAAAAGAACTTTGATGACACCATTGCGGAAGGAATAACCTTTGTCAAGTTCTATGCCCCGTGGTGAGTGGTTGCCTCGACGAAAGCTGCGTTGTTCCAGGGTCCCTGAGTCCCAGCACATTTCCAGCTGAGTAGCCAGCTTTGCAGAGCTAGCTGCAGACACTGCCTTCACCCCAGGATGAGGGAGCGCTGTCCTCACAGCCCTGCACTCACTAGGCTCCCGCTACATGGCACGGGGACCATTCACAGAGGAGGTTAACTTAACGCTCGGGCTGCTTTGGAGGAAGCAAACTTTTATGGCATCTGGGTTCTTTTCCCTTTAGGTTTTCATTGAATAATGAACATGGTGTAGCTCAGCTCCTGAGTTTCTGTAGAATAATGTTAGAGAAGCCCAGTAGAGCTCAGCTTTCTGTAGAAACCCTGAATGTGTGACCCTTCCTGCCACTTGGTCCTTGGGCACCAGAACATGAATAAGTAAGATCACTTGAGACCAAGACAGTCTGATGAGATGGGAAGTGACAGGTTCTAAGGCCTGCTGTCAGCTACAAGCAGTAATCAGAAAATATGGTGACTGCTTAAAAAATTGTTAGAGTAAAAGAAGATATCATTAACTCCCTCCTGACTTCAAACACTGATCATCCTGTCATTCTTGCCACTTTCTGAAGCAGTTTGAGAAGTTGTCCTTTGTGACTGTCTTTATGAAATATGATCAAAAATACAGTGAACATGGCTGCCAGGGTCCATCCAGAGGAAAGGCACACTGTCATGTCCTCTTCCACTGGACCGGCGCTGTGGGCTTCTGGCTCTTCCCCAAGGTCACAGCGACCATGAGAGGTCAACATTTTGAATTGATTCAGTGCAGCTGAAGACAGTCATAAGAGGGGACTTCAAAACTGCTTTAGAAAGCGGCGGGAACAGCGGGATGAGTGTATCAGAAGCCGGGGGAGTCACAGCAGTGTGACTTGTACTGTGGTCGGCTTTTAAACACCATGGTTTTCCATCACGCCTTCTATAAGCTTGTGTGTCCTTTAAGAGCCTCAGCTCTGTGTCCTCAGCTGTCCTTTTGTCGTCACAAGGACAGGCAGGGTGTCGAGGAGAGGGAGAGGCTCTTCATTTAAACAGGCACCAGCAGGGCCCATGCATGTCACTTTCCTTGTTTGACCCCAGGTCAAGGGAAACCACGGGTAGGGACAGAAAGCCAGGGAGCACAGCTCTCCGGAGGTCCACGGAGGAGAGGGCAGGAGGGGAGAGAAGGCTTGCCCCAGACTCTGTCCTGGCCTCTCTGAATAAATCACTGATGCACCAAGGAAAACATTCTGAAATTAGAAGATGCTCAGCAGCCCTAAACTGTGCTCAGCATTCAAATGATTCTGTTACAACTGTGTGGCCACCAATCAGGTTACTGATTCCCTGTCTGGGACAGTGGGGGAATTAGTGTGCACCCAGTGGGGAAATTGTGTGTTTTATGATGCCTATGAGGTTGTTGACTGTCTTACACCAAGTGTCCTGAGCACAGCTGTCACTGTTCTGTCCCCAGGTGCGGTCACTGTAAGAATCTGGCGCCCACCTGGGAGGAACTCTCCAAAAAGGAATTCCCCGGCTTGGCAGAGGTCAAGATTGCTGAGGTGGACTGCACGGCGGAGCGTGATGTGTGCAGCAAGCACTCAGTAGGTGGCCCTGCTGGCAGCAGGCTGGGGAGCCGGACCCAGGCATGGGGAGGCCTCCAGGGGCTGAGGCTGGGTGTGGTGGACACAGCAGAGCGCTGTTTGTGTTCTTTTGAGTTTTGTTTCACCTGGTCTTCAGCCTTTGGCACAACCTTGCGGCCTAGGGGAGCCATGGTTTGCATTCTTCTGTTCACTGCCTTGGTCCTGGGGCTCCAAGCCCAGAGGCTTAGGCTTACGTGGGAAGTCCCTTTTGATTGAGAAGAGATGTTGCTCATTAATAGAAACCCTTGTGAGAATTTCAAGGTGCAAAAAAAAGAGCAGCATGGCTGCAGGGGAGTAGGCATGGTCAGAGTGGGCGAGTGTGCACTTCCAGGCTCGGGAGGGTCACTGCGGTCACCCTGCTCTCAGTGCAGCTGTGGCTCAGGAAGCGAACACCGTGCCCAAAGGCTTTGCTTGCTAAACTGGTCCTTTTATCATCTAAATCCACCTTTAAAAATCAGCCCTGGGGTCCCCACCTCCACTGCATGGGTTTGCCTGCCATATGGGTAGGGTGTGGCTCGGACCCTGTCCTCAGCCTTTCCTGCTTTGGTTACAGGTCCGGGGCTACCCCACATTGCTGCTCTTCCGTGGGGGTCAGAAGGTGGGTGAGCACAGCGGTGGTAGAGACCTTGAGGCTCTGCACCACTTTGTTCTGCGCCAGGCGAAGGATGAGCTGTAGGGGCGCTGCCGGACTCGCCCGTCCTAGCACTGGTGAAGGCTGATGCAGTGGTGACCCGGAGCGGAGCAGATCGCACCAGACGGTGGCATCGTCTTTGTGTGCATTTAAGCCGACACACGCTGCAGCCTCTTTACTGAGTTTCTCTAAGTCAATGTGTAATTCTTGGTCACTGTGCAAACTGAGTATTTTCAGGGGTGGTCCAGCCCCCTTAGTCCCTCAATAAAATTAAATGGTTTCCTTTGAGACTAAAATAGAGTTGAGGGAAAGCAAGTCGCTGGACTCTTTCTAACTTTGAAGTAATTGTGGCAAAAGCATTATTCAAAAGCCTAGGTTTTTTTAACTGCCCTGGAGCGGTGTGAACGTGGCCTTGCAGCGGGACTGATTCTGTCTGATCCGAAGGTCATGGTGGACTCTTAATGACTCGGACTGTAGCTTGGGAAACCCACGCTCCGGAAGAGCCCCCATGGCCACCACTGGAGTTTCGGCTCTGCTTGGTGCCAGGCTGCCTGTAACGCAGGTCCCGATCTGCCACTCACCAGGGAGAGATACCCTCAGTGCCTAGCGTGAGCCTGCAGCCCGGGCCGTGAGCACCCTGAGCTCCTGTGTCTTCCCTAAGAAAGTGGCGGGTCCTGACTGTCCCCTGCGCTCCCGAGAGATTCTGGCTCCCTTTGCTGCCTGGATAGGGGGCCCAGACCGGCCTTCTAGCCTGGGGACCCAGGGCCCTGCAGCCCAGCTCCAGGGCCCCCTCAGAACAGATTCTGCGCTTGCTGTGTGCTGTCGGCCTTACGTGTGAACAGTGGGACGTGGTGGACTCAAGACCAAAGACTGAGGTCAGCAGGGCTGCGCAGGCCGACGCTGGCGTCCTCCTAACTCACGCCATCCTGGTTATTGAAGATTTCTGTTGACCCTCGGACATACGCAGCTGTGGGACTGAGACACAGACCTGTCACCTTTACCATCGAGTTCCTTTTTGTGATCACCATTCTGTGGCCCGCACCCCGCCCCAGCCCCGGACACTGGCCACACGCAGCTGGGGGCAGGAAGCTCAGAGACAGGACCACAGCTACTGTCTGAGGCCGGCGGTAACAGAGCAGCGTCTCGGCCAGCCTCTGCCTTACAGGACATCTTTATTAACCTCGGAAGGTCACAGGCATGCAGTGAAAGAGCCCAGCTTTCTCGAAGGCCAGGGCCCAGTGGCTTCAGCTTTGCATCATGAGTCTTGAATTCAGATCAAGGTGGTACGATTTGTTTACACTATCCTTTCTAAATAAACCTAAAAAACATTCTGCTCTTTTCCTTAAATGTTACAGCAAAATGGATGGGAAATAGACAATAAATTAGTTTCTATTTACAAAAAAAGCTGTAAAGTACAAACACTTCTAGATTATAAATGTATTATTTAATCAGTTTAGTATGAATTGCTTTCCCAGTACATGATTGTGAAAAAGACATTTTAAAAATATTCTAAGATTTAATCTGAATCTTCCTTTTCTACAAGAGGACATTGTGATTTCGATTCATAAGCAGCACAGTGGCCTCAGGAACCCGCTCTTGGGGCGGGCACCCCTTTCCCCCCAGGGCGGTCTCCCCCACGGGACTCGCCCTGCTGCACCGCCTGGTGCCGTGCAGACAGCAGGGGCCCGGCGGTGAGTGGATGAGCTGTCAGAGCCAGCGCTGCGGAGGTTAGTGAGCGTTGCCAGGAGCCGTCCTGTGCTGGCGGGCGCAGGGCTGCTTTCAGAGGTGGCGCGGTGGGAATGAGGGCCACTGCCACCCCGCACGCCCCCATCCATTGCTCGGCTTTCAGTTGTAGCACAGAGGGGCAGGAGGTTGGAGGCATGGGAATGGGATGTTTTGTTTTGACGGCAATGAGCACATTTCTCACACCAAGGACACTAGCGCGAACACATAGCAAACATGAGACAAAAGGCACCTTCGTGGAGCCCTGTTAGGGTCCAGGCCACTGGTCCAGTAAGCACTCAGCCCCACTGGGAACAGAGCCCCCCACCTCTGAAACCTACTTTGATACGACTGAAGCAGCTGGTGCTTTATCCAGGAATACTTATGCTCCAAGAGCAGTTTTTCCATTCCTGCACTTACACAAACAGCTTGACCTACAGCAAAGACTAACTTTGGGGGTCAGCGGGGGCCTCAGAGTTGTATTTCTGCAGTTCACAGATCTCATGCTCCAAACAAGCAGCTACTCACACATTCACAGGGCCAGCAGCTGCGAGCCAGGTCCTTGGGAACCTTCCTGGCGGCAGCGCCTGAGGCACCAGCCTGCGTGCGAGTCTCCTCCCTCTCCGCTGTGCTGCGCGTTTCATGCGGGTTTTTTAAGGCAGGTGTCAGTGAGGACTCCAAGGCCAACGTGTGTCTGGCAGCCAGTCAGTTTGAGTTAGTGGCATCCGCAAGCTCTCACAACCATATTTCTGTATTTTTTCAAGATGACGTTGGAGTTGTCATCAAAGTAAAGGACGGAGATGGCGTTTAGTTTAGTTGGTGCGCAGCATGGTTTGGGGACATACTCGGGATTCATAAGGTGAACCTGTGCAGGACACAAATAGGCCTGTTAGAAATGGCGACACCTGCCATGGGTCGCCTTCCCCCACAGCACATGGAGGGCTCACCAGGGTCTGCACGATGGCGTGGTTGGTGGCGTTCATGTGCGCGTTGAGCGGGAAGGAGCACTCGCCGTCACAGTAATTGGCAGCATAGCCCTTGGGTGCAATGATCCAGTCCTTGATTTGAAAGCAAAGGGAAGCAACACGAGATGAACACACGCCCGCTCCCACCAGTCGTGCCCAGAACCCAGGGACAGCACGTGCCGGAGAGGTCAGGAGATGGGAGGGTGCCGGATTGGAGCTGTCTGAGCCCATGTGGAAGTGGCACAAGCTAGCCACCCCTGCTCCCCTGCAGCCAGACCCGTAACAGTGCAGACGGCTGCTCCACGGACAGATGCTCAGGGACTTGTGGCAGGGCCGTGTCCCAGGGAAGCTGTGGAAAATACAGTATATCGGAAATGCACTCAGGCGACCTCACCTTCAGGACAGCCCAGCCCCAGCAGCACAGCACTCTGGTGTCCTTTGCCCTAATGGCCCCAGCATTGTGGGAGAGGACTGCACCATGATGGCCAGCCCAGGAAGATGAATGTTCAAAATTCAGAGTACAGTTTCTTTGCACTATCAAGATAGTGTACCTTTGCACTATCAAGAAAGCTGAAAAATTCTCAGTCAAGCCATGGTAAGCCAGGGATCGCCTGTAAGGGACTCAAGACCCTCGAGCCGCTGGTGATGTCAGTGGTATCACCTGCACGCAGAAATGGGCGCTCATCTCCTGTGGTCAGATTTCTTATAAACTAGTGGTGGCTCTGAGTTACAGGGCAAAACCTCTCTTTTGTAGGGTTCAAGTGAGCCAATTTGAAGCTATTGCATTATTTTTTCCAATCTTGTTTTAAAACAAAAATTGTATAAATGCCACAGGTTTCCTGGGACACGGCTCAGCCGTAAATCCTGGAGCATCTGTCCGTGGAGCAGCCGTCTGCACTGTTACAGGTCTGGCAAATATATATTGGTAAATATAACTGTGTGGGCTCTGAAAGAATGTGGGTGCCATACTTGAGGGATCCTGGGCACTCCAGAAAGGCGCCTCGATCTTGAGCGATTGTGAGGGCCCAGAAGTAACTTAGCAGCTATAACAGGGCAGGGTAGGGGACCCATGAGAGCCTCTTGAGCCATCATGTCAGCCCTGCAGCTCCTGCCCTGTAGGACAGCTGTCACCCGCCATCCAGGTAGGAATGAGCAGCTCCATCCTCACCGTCCTGAGAACTCACCTGCCACCCCAGGTCTTGGAAGCTCACATAGAGCTCATGCTTCCTGCAGGCCGTTTTTAACTCGCTGCTGTTATAATCTGCCAGACAAGATCAAAAGATGCACACATTAACTTCATTCCTTCGTGGCAAAACTGGCCAGGGAGCATCTGCCACATGCCAGGTGCTGGAACAGGCTCAGCAGAGCTGTGAAAAAGACCCCTGCCCACACAGCAGCTCCCCTGGGGTGGGCGGTTCCCCATGCTTGCATGAACCCCTTCCACTCTCCACTCTGTCCATTCCAGGTCAGTCTCCAGCACACTATAGACTCGCATGAACATCTTTAAGCAAGTAGATCTGTGTTACACACCCCGCAGTCTGCGGAGGAATGTGCTGGAGTGTCGGTCGGATCTGGAAGGTGACACGTTGTCATCAGCAGATGTTTCGCCATTCTGCTGAGCCAGGGGAGCTTCCTGAAGAAAGTGGGACTCAAGCAGGTGCCCCAGAAATGGGGTGAGAGGGACGCTGGGAAGACTAGGATCTCTTGCTTTGTGCTCCAGCCTCACTGCCAGGAATGAGTGCTTTGACTGCACTGAAGCAAGGATGCCAAAGCCTCTTCCACCCAAGAATAAGCTGGGGTGCCACTCATCAAAGGCCATCCAAGCAGACCTTCTGTGACAGGCCTGGCACCCCAGAAGGTGGGGAGATAAATGAGATACAGCTGCTGTCTTCCAAGAACTTAGAGGATCCAACGGGCCGGTATGAGACATGTAGATAAGTAACCTCTGCTACAACTCCATAGAAACACAGTGGGCGAGGGCCACGGGTCATACCCCTGGGGTTCAGAGAAAGGACAGTTCAGGGCAGGCAGGAGAGGAAACAGCAGCTCTGTTGGAAAGAACTGGAGGACATGGAAGAAAGAGACAAAGGTGAAGATGTGAATGACCACCGTCCACCACAGTGACCTGAGGGTTTCTGAGCCATGAGTGACCGGTGGAGCTGTGATCCTGAAGGACTCACTGGTCTTGCAGTTGTGTCTAAATTATGTTTAAAGAGGGCAGACAGGAGTCAGGGGAAAGAGAAGCCTGGGGACAAGCTCTCCCTCTGACACAGACGCCAGCGGTCATGGATATGCCACCCCTCTCTGGTCAGAGGCAGAAGCCAATGAGTTTCCTACTTGTCCAGTGCCTGTTGGAACTGGATTTTCATGCCTGTTCTCCTGGGCTTCTGGCCCTGAATCAGAGGAGCAAGGTTGTAGATTCTCTGCTTTTGTAAGGAAAAGAGACAAACAGGACGCACTTAGGCCAGTACCCTACACTGGGAAGATACACCCCAACACTCTGAGGTGGCTGGCACATTCTACATGCATTCATTCTCCTCACCTCAGAGATCTGCCTGAAGATGTGCCCAGGAGAGCAAGGCAGAGCCATCCGGAGGGCAGTGGTCACCAAGCAGGAGACCAGGGGCTCTTTCAGGCTCAGTCACCCTCACGGGACAAGACAAGGGTAACAAAGAGGAATCAGCCACACAAAGTTTTCTCAAGAGGAGAGCTGGAGCGCAGGAGCGAGGAGACCCAGGACCCCAGCAGGTTAGTGTAGTGTCGGGCCAAGGCTAAGAAGGAAAAGTATCTGGAATAGGGAAAAGACAAAAGAAAGGCTAAAGCAAAAATAGCATGGGAGCAAGCAAGGTGAGAATGAAACAAAAACACGTAGGTCTGAAAAAGTACCAAAGTGAACTTAATAAAAACAATAATCATTGCAAACAAAAGTGAAACGGATGAGTTAAATTTCAGATTAGACCAACCAAAGGAAGAAAGAACTGGGTAACATTTTTAAAGAAACCCCTCAGACACAGGATTGCATCAAATGGCAAAAGGCACGGTCTTTAAGGGGACAAGGAAGAATGAAAACACCAGCATTTTCAGTAGGGATTTTAAGGGACAGTAATAGGAGAGAAGCAGTATTTGGAGACACAATGGCCAAGGAGTTTCCGACAGTGAGGGCAAACCTCTTTAAATGAAAAGGCACAAGACATCCTAAGCAGAACTCCTAAGTAAATTCCTACAGATGTCACCACACAGAGCAATTATCCAAAATTACTGAGTGCAAAAGCAAGCTACTGGCAAAGGAACACAAAGCAGACTGAGGGCAAAATGAACAAAAATGCGTATCTGAAAATTCACTGATAGCATAAATGATGCCATCAGCGTAGAATTTTATACCCAATATGAGATGTAGGTAGACAGCACCCATATTGCTTTGGCTCCCTTGTGTCCTGGAACACTCATTCTGGGGGTGTCCCTATGTAAGTGGGGATCAGGGCCCCATTTCTCATGATGGTTTCTGTCCCTGTGCTCAATGGGCTCATGCCTGCATAGAAGCCGGTCAGATGTCCCCCGGAGGATGGACCTCGAGGCAGTGACTCCCAGGTGAAGTCTGCGCTGGCAGTCACTGGCTGGAATGACAGCCTGTGATGGCATCCGAAGAACAGTGTCTGCACATCTCTCTGGGCTGGGCTTTGGTTCTGCGTTTGTTTCTTGGTCCTTCTGTTGATTGGATGAGGCCTTGAATTGCTTTTTAGTGAGAGTCAGTGACTGCTGCATGCCACCAAGAGCCCTGTGATGTTGGATATTGTGCCCTGATGGAGGGGCGCCGATATAGGGTAAAAGGTTTTACTTCTGGGTGTGTCTGTGAGGCTGTTGCTTAAAAAAAAAAATATTAGCACTTGAATCAATGAACCAGGTAAAGATCACTGATACCAGTATGGCCAATCCAGCAAGGGCCCGATCAGAAGACCACACCGGAGGAAGTGCAGTTTCTCTCTCCTCTGAGCTGGGTCATCGTGTTTTGCTCCGCCCCAAGACACTGAGACTCCCGGCCCTACAGCCTTTGGATTCCAGGACTTACAGGTCAGCTCACCTGACAGGCACATCAGCTGCCAGACACCACTCTCTCCTGGTTCTCGGGCACATGATGGGACTCCTTAGCCTCCACAACCTACACAGGCCAGCCAGTTCCCACGACGCGTCTCCCCTCATCGCTCCCACCTCTGTTCTGTTTTTCTGTGGACCTTTGACTAATATGAATCCTGAGTAGCTGAACGTCTACTCAGTAACTAGAAGGATAAGCAGGCCCAGAAGGAGCTGGCTGGCTCTCTTGTAGGCCTGCTAGCTAAGAGACCTTCTCAGCAGATACTAGACGGAACCTTGGGAGGTGAGAGGCTGTCTGGGGGAGAATATTCCGCACCCAGGTAATGACAGCACGTAGCCCCTCTAGCTACAGGCGCAATCTCGTGGAGGCCAAGATGCACAGCTAGATGAGACTTCCCACGGCAGTGAGGGGCGGCCACAGGCCTGAAGACTGCCCCAACCGTAGGGGAGAAGGGAGCTGGGCTGCTCCCCTCCAGCCCTCCACTCTGCCCTTTCCTGCCAGCTGTGTGCTGGAGGCCAATCTCCTGAAGACTTCATGGTCCTGGTGCCCTTGCACTCTTGAGACAGCGCCCCCTGAAGGGGAACCTTTCCCCATCTGGAGCACACTAGCACAAGCTCCATCTGCATGTGTTCCAAGCTCAGCTTCCTTCAGATCGCCCTCTGTCTGTGCTGGGGACCAAACTTTCACTGCACTCAATTTTGGAATCGCTGGCAACAGAAAAAGGACATCTACAAACTTTCCTTCAGAAGTCAGGCAGACAGAGCAGTGTGAAATAATCAAGAATACATTTGGTGTTGGTCCTCGGATCTTGGCAGAGAGCTTGGAATCCTACCTACTGGATTTCGGGAGTGACAGGAGTGTGTCTCTGTCCTTAGACAGCTTCAGGATGGAACTAGGCCATGACCAGAGGGTAAGAAACTGGCCAGCCTTACCTGGGTGTGAAGGGTAGGGGGACAGAGCTCAGTCATGTGGCCAGTGATTCATCAACTGTGCACGGTGATGAAACCTCACATGGGAAGGCTCAGAAGCTAGAAGCTTGATGCTCAGTGTAACAGCAGTGAGGGTGACGGAACCTTAGAGGCGGAGCCTAGTGGGAGATACTCAGTCCCAAGGGCACCACCCTCAGAAGGGATCCGAGCTCCTCTCCTGGGGTGGGATAGGTCTCTCTAGACTGGTTTGGATGCCAGACAGTGCACTGTCATATGAAGCAAGCTTTCCTTGTGTTTGATCTCGTGTAGGCAGTGCTGGCTGTGTTTGGATTTGTTGTCATAGCAACACAAATTGGTTGGTGACCATTTTGCTGCTGAGAGCCTGGTGACCCCAGAGGGGGGTGCACACTCCGAGTCCCAGTCATTAGTGTCTTCCATCGGCTGCTTCCTTCAGCTGTCCCTGGAAAGGTGTGGCCTTCGTAATAACACTTTAGTCAAAGCATGGAGCTTTCTTAGGCTCTGTAAGTTGCTCTAACAAATCATCCAGCACAGAGGAAGGAACATGGGAACTCCATATTTGTAGGAAAGCCAGAAATGCGGGTGGCCCAGGGACCTCTCCGGTGACTGGTGTCTGAAGTAGGGTCTTCTTGGAGACTTTGTCCTCTAACCTGAGAGTCTGCACTAACGCCAGATGGCTCAGGACAGAATTGAACTAAGTTGTAGGTGGCCTGCGTGTTGTCTGGGGGAGCTGTTCTCAGAACACGGACAAGGTCCACCTCTTCACAAGCTGAGTCTTTTCCTGCTCAATGGCACCGAGGTGACACCTTTTAAAGACTTCACTTCCAACTTCGGAAGAGTTCTGCTACCTGCCATTGACCGAGCTCCCTTGATGCGCACCAGAAAGAACTTCCTCAGAATGAACAGCTGCTTCATTCAGCGCTGGACACCGGCATTCCTGCTCGTAAGTAAGAACTGGGGCCAGCGGGAGGAAAGGGAGAAATGCAGCCCTCCATTCTGGCTCCCTGCAGATGCTCTCAGGCCAGGCTCCTTCCTCAGGAGCCCATGGCGAGCTGCTGCCGATACCTCCATATTCGCCAAGGCCGAAGTGCCCCGGGCGCCTGTCTCTGAGCCACAGGGGTTGGTGCCCTGGGTTTTCCTTGGAACTGCACTGCCCCACACTACTGTTTTTGTCGTTTTCTGTTTTGGTGGGTTGACAGACTGCCAAAAACCCTTCTGCTCATC